TTAGATAACAATAAGAATTAGAGTAACAGGATTCTGCGGTGCATAAATTTGCTCGCTCTAAAAATACAGTATTGTCTTAGTAAGTGACCAGAAGATACTCTAAAAATATTTTTGGCTATTTTCTTTGTAAGAAAAAAAAACAAAAACATGATCTTAATCATCTTTTATAATCAAATACAATACAAGAAAATATACACTGTGATTGTTTAATTGTTGGATGCTTTAAAGTAATCAAAAATGTTTCATGCAATTCTGAAATAAATTAGATTATCATACTCACTTAAGAAATTTTATATTTTTATACATGGCTTGTCTCTAATATATAAATACAGTTCAAATATTTTGAATCGTTTTCATTTTGAGAAAAACCTAAAGATAAGGAATTAAATAACATCTATATGCAATTTCACTATTCATTTTTGTGTATAAAAGTTTCTGTTTATCGTTATTGGTATTCGCACTTTTTCTTTAAATACCACTAAACGTTTTGAACCAATTCGATGAATTTTTTTTATATATTCGTGAAATTCTATTAAGCATAATACTTAATAGGTACTGTACATACTAGCGGTACGTTAAGTCTCAAACCACTACGTTAGTGTAACATCAGATTTCAGACCTTTCTCCATAATGATAATAATGTATCACGAATTTGCGAATACAAATTGATGATAAATTGTACAATGATAGACTTTCTCTCTTAGAAATGAATATGCCAAAAAAAATTAACGTTAATGTTATTGGTGCTGGTGTAATAGGTCTTACCATAGCTTTAATTCTACAAAGAAATGGAAAATTCTATCTGAACATTGGCCTGGCGATTTAAATATTAATTATTCAAGTCCTTGGGCAGCGGCAGCCCGGAGAGCTAGCCTTTATATTGAAGATGAAAGGGTCATGGTAAATTTAATAGCTGTAGTAATAAGTATTATTTTTATATTCAATGAAGTAACAATTATATTATCAAATAGAGTATGAAAAAATTTCGTGGAATGAATTTTGGACCTTATTTGAGAACCCAGAAACTGGATTAATGCGTGTGCAAATTTATGATTTTATGGATAAAAAACCTGATTTTGGAAGTGATATTTGGTTTAAAGATTTTGTACCAGAGGTATTATTATAATTATAATTAAGATCGCAAATTATCTT